GGACTCTATAGCAAGGACAGTGTGTCAGATGGAGCAGGTGGTGCTGGGGGCATTGGTGGAATTTATGAGAAGGAGGGCATGTTCGATAGTGGGGGTGGACCAGGTGGTGCTGTGGGACTAGGTGGAATTTATGGCAAAGATGGTGTGCAGATTAGAGCTGGTGGTGCTGGAATCTATGGCAAGGATGGGATGCCAGGTGGTACTGGTGTTGCTGGATATGGTGGTTCTGGAGAAGCAGGTGGTCTTTATGGCAAAGATGGCATGCTAGGTGGTACTGGTAGTGCTGGTGTACCTGGGGGAATAGGTGGACTTTATGACAAAAGAGGCAAACCATTTGGATCAGGAACTGGACCTGACAGTAATGAGGGAGCAGGTAGTCTGTATGGCACTGATGGAATGCTAGGTGTTGCTGGGGGAGCTGGACTCTATGGCAAAGATGGTATGCCAGTTGGAGCAGGCAGTAGTGTACCTGGTGGTGCTGGCAGAGCAGATGGCTTCTATGGCAGGGATGATATTCTAGGAGGTGCTGGGGGATCTGGTGGTGCTAGAGGAGTAGGTGGGAAGGGTGGCATACCAGTTGGAACAGGTGTTGGTGGAGCTGGTGCTTCTGGAGTAATAGGTGGTCCTTATGGCAAGGATGGCATGCTGGGTGGGGCTGGTGGTGCTGGAGGCTTAGAGGGACTATGTGATAAGGATGGCAAGCCTGGCACAGCTGGCCTTGGTGGAAATGGCCATGCTGGAGGTTTAGGGGGGCTTTATGGCAAAGATGGCATGGTAGATAGTTCTGACAGACCTGGTGGAACTGTGGGAATAGGTCAGCTTTATGACAAAGATGGTTTGCCTGTTGGAGCTGGTGGAGTAGCTAGAATCTATGACAAGAATAGCATGATAACTGGAGTAGGCCCTGGTGGAGCTGGTGATGCTGGAGGAGCAGGTGGTTTCTATGGCAAGGATGGCATGCTGGTTAGTAGTGGTGGAGCTGGTGGACCTGGAGGAATAGGTGGATTCTATGGCATGGCAGTTGGAACAGATGCTAGTGGACTTGGTGGTGGTAGAGCTATAGGGAGCCTGTATGGCAAGGATGGCAGTCTGATTGGTGCTGGTGGACCTGGTGCTCTAGGTGGTGCTGGTGGACCTCATGGAGCTGGAGGAGAAGGAGGACGCTACGGCAAGGATGGCATGCCAGTTGGATCAGGAACTGGTAGGCCTGGCAATGCTGTAGGAGCAGAGAGTCTCTATGGCAAAGATGGCATGCCACTTAAAGGAGGTATTAGTGCACTTAGTGGTGCTGGAGGAACAGGGGTTCTCTATGGTAAGGATGGTGAGATGGGAAGTGCTGGTAGTCTCCATGGCAAAGATCATGTGCTAGGTGGTACCAGTGGTGTTGCTGGGCACATTGGTGGACTTTATGGCATTGATGGCAGTGGTGGTCCTGTGGGATCTGGTGGACCCTATGGGAAAGATGGTACATTAGGTGGAGGTAGTGGTGCTGAGAAACTAGCTGGACTCTATGGTAAGGATGGCATGCCATACGGAACTGGTACGGCTGAACATTATGGTAGTGGAGGAAGAGGTGGCCTCCATGGCAAAAGTGGCATGGGTGATGCTGGTGAGCATCCTGGTTCTGGAGGGCTAGGTAGACATTATGGCAAGGATAGTACACCAGCTGGAGCAGGCACTGGAGGAGTAGGTGGACTCTATGGCCAAGATGGCATGCCAGTTGAAATAGGCACTAGTGGACTTGCTGGTGCTGGAGGTAAAGGTGGACTTTATGGCAAGGATGGTATGCCAGCTGGAGCAGGCACTGGAGGAGTAGGTGGACTCTATGGCCAAGATGGCATGCCATTTGGAATAGGCACCGGTGGACCTGATGGTGCTGGAGGTAAAGGTGGACTTTATGGCAAGGATGGTATGCCAGCTGGAGCAGGCCCTGCTGGCCCTGGTGGTGTTGGGGGGGTAGCTGGGCTCTACGGTCCAGATGGCATACCAGTTGGCACTGGAGGGCTTGCTGGTGCTGGAGGTAAAGGTGAACTTCATGGCCAGGATGGTATGCCAGCTGGAGCAGGCCCTGCTGGCCCTGGTGGTGTTGGGGGAGTAGCTGGGCTCTACAGTCCAGATGGCATGCCACTTGGCACTGGAGGGCTTGCTGGTGCTGGAGGTAAAGGTGAACTTCATGGCCAGGATGGTATGCCAGCTGGAGCAGGCCCTGCTGGCCCTGGTGGTGTTGGGGGAGTAGCTGGGCTCTACAGTCCAGATGGCATGCCACTTGGCACTGGAGGGCTTGCTGGTGCTGGAGGTAAAGGTGAACTTCATGGCCAGGATGGTATGCCAGCTGGAGCAGGCCCTGCTGGCCCTGGTGGTATTGGAGGCGTAGCTGGACTCTATGGTCCAGATGGCATACCAGTTGGAATAGGCACTAGAGGGCTTGCTGGTGCTGGAGGTAAAGGTGGACTTTATGGCAAGGATGGTATGCCAGCTGGAGCAGGACTTGCTGGCCCTGGTGGCATTGGAGGAGTACGTGGACTCTATGGCCAAGATGGCATGCCATTTGGAATAGGCACCGGTGGACCTGATGGTGCTGGAAGTAAAAGTGGACTTTATGGCAAGGATGGTGTGCCAGCTGGAGCAGGCCCTGCTGGCCCTGGTGGTGTTGGGGGAGGAGCTGGGCTCTACAGTCCAGATGGCATGCCACTTGGCACTGGAGGGCTTGCTGGTGCTGGAGGTAAAGGTGAACTTCATGGCCAGGATGGTATGCCAGCTGGAGCAGGCCCTGCTGGCCCTGGTGGTATTGGAGGTGTAGCTGGACTCTATGGTCCAGATGGCATACCAGTTGGAATAGGCACTAGAGGGCTTGCTGGTGCTGGAGGTAAAGGTGGACTTTATGGCAAGGATGGTATGCCAGCTGGAGCAGGCACTGGAGGAGTAGGTGGACTCTATGGCCAAGATGGCATGCCTGTTGGAATAGGCACTGGTGGACTTGCTGGTGCTGGAGGTAAAGGTGGACTTTATGGCAAGGATGGTATGTTAGCTGGAGCAGGCCCTGCTGGTCCTGGTGGCATTGGGGGAGTAAGTGGACTTTATGGTCCAGATGGCATGCCAGTTGGAACAGGCACTGCTGGACATAGTGGTGCTCTAGGAGAAGGTAGCCTCTTTGACAAGGCTGGCATTCAAGGTGGTGCTGGTGGGTCTGGTGGTAGGGGAGGTGGACTCTGTGGCCAAGATGGCTTTCCAATTGGAACCAGCACTCATGGATTTGGCACTGCTGGAAGGGGTGGCCTCTATGGCCAGGATGGAATGCCAGGTGTTGTTGGAACTCAAGGTGCTGGAAGAGCTGGTGGCCTTCATGGCAAGGCTGGATATCTGGGTAGTCCTGGTGGGCCTGATGATGCTGGAGGAGTAGCTGCACTTTATGGCAAGGATGGAGTGCTAGGTGGAGCTGTTGGTGCTGGAGGAGCAGGTGGTCTCTATGGTAAGGATGGAATCTTGGATGGGGCTAGTGGGGCTAGGAGTGCTGGGGGAGTTGGTGGCCTGCATGGCAAAGATGGGATGCCAATTGTATCTGGTATTGGTGGAGAAGGGGACCTGCACGGCAGGAGTGGTTTGCCAGGTGGAGAAGGCAGAATTGGGCGCGGCGGTATTGTAGACCATGCTGGACTTTATGGTAAAGATGGTAGGGCTGATGGAATTGGTGCTGGCGGTTTTGGGCTCAATGAAGGAGGAGGACTGGGGAATATCTTTGGTAAGGAAGGTAGACTAGGTGGGATTGGGATTGGTTTAGGAGCTGGAGATATTGATGGATCACTGCTTGAGAAAATGTCAGGCATTCCTGGCGAAGAGTTCCTTGCTTATGGACAGTCTTCCGGCTTTTATGGTGCTGGATCTCATCCTGGTGACAGAAGACAAAAACTGTCTGACTTAGATGCCAGTGGACGTATTTCAGCTGATGTTTCGAGAAGCAGGGACAGAAAAGGAAGAATTCTGCTGGAAGAGGATGCAAGAGGTACTTTTACATTCCAGAATGGCTTTTTATTTAAGTTGTAGACAAGTTATATAAGTTGTGGCATCATTACTGAAAATAAATATTATGTTTACATCTCTTTTGCCTGTACAGAACCACATTGCCGTTTCACTCAAGGCTTATTTGACATCCATGCTCACAAAGGAAAAGCAGCTGTCTTGTCGTGCAGACTTAACAATGATCAGATTGAAGGAAACTGGTTTAAAGATGGGCTCAAGGTATGTCATAATTCATAATAAGCTTCTCTTGGAGACTACCGGAAGCCATGTTTTCCTCCAGCATCATTCATTTAAATTTATTTATTTTGTATAATTTGTTCGGGTGCCTTCCTCCTAATAGGGGACCCGAGGCAGGTCATAATGTTAAACAAGTAATACTAAGCACACAATAAATTACAGATTAAAAAGCAAATTATAATATTAATAATTAAGAATCCATTAAGTAATTTAAAGCATTTAAAAGTTTAAAAGCACACTTAGAAAAGTCAGAAACAGCATAAAGGGACTCAGTCATAATTAGCTATGAGAATGCCTTTTTCCTGCCTACGTGATCTTTTATTTTGAAATAAAGATAAAAGAGTGAAAGAGAAAAATACAGTATATCATAGCAATTTAAGAGGAAAGGAGGATGAAGAGTAGCATGCATATGCTAGAAAGTTACCAAATTATAGAAGACTTATTTTGAAATAAAGATAAAAGAGTGAAAAAGAAAAATATATCATAGCAGTTTAAGAGGAAAGGAGGATGTAGAATAGCATGCATATGCTAGAAAGTTACCAAACTATCTAAAAGACAAAGTACCTTACCTGGGAAACTGATGCTTCTCTCCATAAGACGCACCAAATTTTTAGGAGAAGAAAACAGGAAAAAATAATGTTTTCTTCGCTCCATAAGATGCACAGACTTTCCACCTCCCTGTTTTGTAGAAAAAATACGGTACCTTACCTGGGAAACTGATGCTTTAGCTAGTGAATTAGCTGAATACATAAAGAAAAAGCAGGTTAACAAAGGTAATAAATGATCAAAATTTTTAATATTTCAAGTGGAAATATACTTGTCCACCTAACCAGCTATAAGTTTTGGTGATCACATGCACCAGTTAAAAGAACAGCAAATTTCCATTGCCCTGGACTTGCAGGTAAAGTGCTGGTATCATAGGCATTAATGCTAATACAGCCTTATTTTCATACCTTGGTGACTTGGTAACTGTACTGGTCCTGCAGGTAAAATCCATTGATCAAGATACCAGTCCCTCTTGAGCAGATTCCTACCTGCATATAATTGAATTACCTGATGAGACTATGGTAAGCCACCAGAATTAGTAGTACGGAATGTTGAAGGTATGCCAACAACACGTCTTGAGAGCAGATCTGTTTATCACATGTTCTTTTCTTTTACCTGCTTCTCATCCATTTTTGCTTCCACTCTTCAGTTTGGGTGATTCTTAAGAGTATTCAACCAACTTGACCAGGGACAGGATCTTCATGGGGTTACAGCTTGAAGCTCATACAGGAAGAATTGTTACATTAGCCTGGATTGTAATCTGTAGAAATTTGAATGTTGCATGCACTTTCTGAGAAATAATATTTTCGTGTACGCTCTTTTCAACTTTCCTGTAAGATAACAGGCTTAGATGGAGTGTCCATTGAGAAGGAGGGTCCAGTCCATAAACTGATAATTGATGAAGTACAAGAAAAGCATGCTGGCAAATACAAATTTGAAGCTGAAGACATCCGAACAGAAGCATCCATTTTTGTTGAAGGCAAGTCTAGTCAAACTACAGTATGCCATTTGGAAGATTCCAACCTAGATGTCTAGCCACTGCACCACACTGGGTATAATCCTTCCATGGAATCATAGTTCTGGAAGAAATGAGAATGTGATTGATTCGTAATCTCAGAAACTAACTCTCATTGCCCCATGATGAGGGAAACAGGAATTACTGGGGAGACATTCACTGTTGACTATGAATTTCTGTAGTAGTTTATCAATGGGTGCATACAACAGGTTTGTGTTTAGGACTGAAACTCTAATCAGAGATTTGTAAACTATGATGTGGATAATCTTTGGTTAATACAAAATGTCCCTGCTAAACTCATCTTCCTCTTCTGCTGCTTTTATCACATACCACCCATCCCCCTAATTTCCCTAAAGTGGTCCAATAGCAAATTTGCATTTGACTTCAAGCATCTTACTCTGAAGGCCTGCCCCCTCATCCAGTGACATCACTTCCCATAAAATCTGCTGCACTAGAGTGGATTTCCCCCACTTTTTTAAATTTGTTGGTGCATCTGATGAAAATCTGTGCCATAATACAGTTGTTTTTTTCTGAGGTTCCACGTTATGGTTTTCGCTGCAAGATTAATAGGGATACCTCTTGGGAACATGTTGGTGATCCATCCTTATAACAGCCACATGCTTCATTTTCAGAAAGTTGATTTACTTCTCTCTTTCAGATTCTTCCTATGGATCTATCATTTTATAATTTAGTAAAGCTTTCCTAAGCAAAGTATATTCTTGCTTAGTCAACCCCTTTTCCATCTAGAACAAGTTGTCTATATGCATAGAGTTGACACTTGGTTTTATATGTTTATATATTAAACCATCACAATAAAACTGTATCAGTTCCCTGGGCTTGTGCAATGAAATTTTATCTTGTCTTCAGCAGAGCTCATTGTGAAAGAGTTGTTTCTGAATTTGTGATTACTATCTACAGATCAAACATACGAACTATCTTCTAATGTTAAAAAGAGTCAATGTTAATAGGGACAGACCATACTTCATGTAGTCAGAACTAATACAGTGTACCCTTCATTTCTATATTCAGATCCTCCAAGTATTGACTCTGCACTTCTGAATAAACTGAAGAATGAACCTATAGTAGTTAAGGCAGGAAAAAGCACCATAGTTAAGATCCCATTTGAAGGCCGGAAGCCAATCAGAGCAACTTGGCTTAAAGATGATGGGGAACTTCTGGATGATGCCAGGATCAGCACTGACTATTCAGATGACTACACCCGGCTCACCATATCCAGCACCAACAGGAAGGATTCTGGAGATTATAAAGTTAAGCTGAAGAATGAGAGTGGAACCACTGAAGCCACTCTCAAGCTGATAGTGATAGGTGAGAAAGCTATAAAATGAAGAAACTGTTTCGACAAATTATGAATGAATGAATTATAACCATTAACCCCTATAGGTTATTTAATACTTACAGTGGGCTTTTATAGCTAATGATAAAATCAGTTTACTGAAAGTGGAAACTTATGTAGTGCCATGTTGTAGGAAGCTCCTTATGTTGATACTAGAGTATGCAGCATTAGAATATGCACCAGTTTTGATAACTGTGTTAGGAGAGTGTTTATAGCAGAACTACACACATGGCAAGAATAAGCTTTCAGTGGACTGTTGTGCTATAGATAACAAGCAATATAACAAATTCTGTTAATCCATGCTTTTATAACACCTATATCAAGCCTACGTCTCTTGTTCCTATAAGTAGGATCTTGCATTGGTCATGCCAGTTCCCCTCAAGTGAACTGGGAGAACAGAAATCCCACTGTTGAACAAGGCAAAAAACGTCTTTCATATGTTCTGTTTTACTCCTGCATTTAGATAAGCCGCAACCACCAACAGGACCTATAGTAGTTGTGGACAGCTCCACAAGTGGTATAACTATTCAGTGGAAGCCCCCAAAAGATGATGGTGGCAAACCAATCAAGAGTTATGTCATTGAGAGGCAGCAAGTTGGCAGAAAAACCTGGCTGACACTGGGAGAAACCGATGGAAACACCACAGTTTTCACCACCAACAAAGTAGAGCAGGATAAGAGCTATTACTTCAGGGTTAGAGCAGTGAATGCCGAAGGTACCAGCGAAGTACTTGAATCTGACGAGGTGATGGCTGCTGCCAAAGGTAATGGAAAACCCTTTCTGTCTGTCAAATTGTCATCAAAGCACCTAACATCCTATCAGATGCTAAAAGATTTGGCACTGAACTGAAATGTAGCCGTAGTTCAACTGGGTTTGAACATTTTTATTACTGCATAAATAATTAGAATTTACATAAGAACAGCCACTCCATGCATTTCATATGGCACTTAATATATATAGTTGTTGATACATTTATTTGTGAAGTGAACTCTGAACCATGATTTATGGGCCGGTGCTTTTTGTCAGTAGTGACCTAAAGGTTCTCAAGGATCGTTCTTCACATTAAATTGAAACTGCTGCATAGACTATTCCACTCCTGAAGTAGTTTTCAGTGATGGGAAAAACATGCTCACTTCAGTTCTGAAAGGACTGCTATTATTAAGCCTTTTTAAAGCAAAGCCAAGTGTGCTGCTTATATACTGCTCCATAGTGTTTAAAGCAGTGGTCCCCAACCCCCAGTTTGCGGCTGGTGCTGGTCTGTGGCCTGGGCCACACTGGGCTGCCAAGAGAGACCTCCTGCTACCCCCCCCATATGCACTCATCCCTGCACTGCCCGTTTGCACCTGCGTGCGTGCTCCAGTATGCGCATGCAAGCACCACATGGCCATTTGTGCATGTGCATGGGTGTACATGGGGCCACTTGTGCACATGCGCAAATGGCATGGCACTCATGTGGGCACCCGCCCACCCATGGTCTTTTGGTACCAAGTCTTGAGTCCCAAGCCCAAGTCGCTATTAAAAATACGTTTTCCCCCAGAAAAAAAGGAGGTTGCAACTTAATTATGACTCGATAGTGATTCTCATAACTCAAATCCCCGTCCCTGCTAGTTAGTCTGTCAATTAGTGTTTCGGATTTAGAATGAGAATGGTCTGTTTGCAAAGAGGTGTTGAATAATAGCATGCTTTTGTTAGTAGTTGTGTTAAAGCATTTAGTTTGTCAATAAGGTACAGAATGTAAAGCACTAACAGACAGCTGAAACATGGTTTTCTATATTGTGTTTTTGTGTTGTTTGTGGTTTTTTTCTTCAAAACAACTATTTTGGGTTCACAACTCCTGCATATATTTTATAGATAGCATGCCTAAGATATTGTAATCATGTATACTGCCAGTCAGTGCTGTGATACATGGCTTATAAAAATAAAAATTAAAAAAAATGTGTTTCAAAAGGCCAAGGTGAATGTATGGCGGAATTGTAGCTGTTTAAAAGGGAGTCAAAGCTGTTTGCTTTAGTTAAAGATAATGCAACAGAAGTCATTCTTGTTCACAAGTAAAAGTGGCAACCCCAAATTAATGCCAAGGTTTGGGGTTGGTTGCCATTTGGGCAGCGGCACATACAGGGAAAGAAGGGGTGTGGGCTCCTCAATGTGCTAATGGGATACCTTGGTTTAAAACAAGTTTATGACTGTAGTTCCTTTAGGTACAAATTAATCTTAATCTCAGATTTACATGTAACACAGAGTTCTTCCCTTCCCAGTTTGCTTGTCCATTCATGTTAAAGGAGAAACAAAACAACAAAAAGGCATGTTGCATAAAGCAATACATGTACAGAGTGATTTATTAAACCAGAATTCCTGCTTTATTGTTGTGTCAGAATGTAGCCAATAAAGCATTCTATTTTGCAGTTTCAGCCATTTCAGCAATATTCAGATAAGTTTCTAAGGCAAGGTCTAGAAAATAATAGATAACTTGAAATAGACATACTGAGAATGACTAGGACAGGATTGTGCAGTTCCTAGACTGACATTTCATTTTTATTTTCCCACTGACAGTCTAATGTTTGATATGATGCTATGTTTAAAGGACACTTTGAAAAAACATAAGCTCTTAGACATTATTCTTATCTTAAGAGACAACAGAAAGTTTCAATTATGATGGGTTGAAATTTTTCCTAGTTTTTCCTGGCCCTCCTGCTCCTCCTAAAATCATCAGCGCCAGCAAGGGCACCGTCTCACTCTCATGGGCAGCACCCCATAAAACAGGCAACTCACGAATTTTGGGATACACCGTTGAGAAATGCAAGAAGGGCAGCAATACTTGGGCACCGGTCACTGACGTGCCCATAACAGGTAAGTCCATAAATTTCTAGTACAACAAGCGGGCCAAAGAATTTCAGAGTGGGAACAAGGAGATCCAGTTATGACATAAAACTCCTCATAAGAGAGATTAAGATCTGATTAGAATTTCTCTAGGTTTTATCAGAAAACTAAGTTGCCTCATTATTCCTTTTTGACTATCCACCCCTCCCCGGGCATTGCCTTCTGGGAGTTTTCCTTAAGCTCTTTCTTGATTCAAGAGCTTCTCTAACCATGATCTACATCCACTCATCAATCCCAGCACAGACTTCTCTTCCTCTCTTTTGTTTTTCCCACCTAGCCTTTTAGTTAATAGCCCCTTGTTTATTTATAAAATTTATCCTACTCTCTGTGGACCTACAGTTCTATTTTGATGCTGTAATGTGGGTCCCATACCATACAGACTCTTGCAATTCTCCGTTCCAATATTGTAACTCTGTATGCTCCACAGCTGCATCAATACCGCAAACTCTCTGTGGACCTACAGTTCTATTTTGAAGCTGTAATGCGAGTCCCATACCATACAGACTCTTGTAATTCTCCACGATGCTTTCACACAGCGAGGCACCACTGTATTGGAACTCTGTATGCTCCACAGCTGCACCAATACCAGAGGTGTTATACCTGTCCTACACTGTTTGTCACCATTTTGCTTTCAGGTTCTGCTTGAAAGTTCATGGGAACATATGCAGAATGGTCTATGAGAACTTAGTCCAAAGAGTATTGTTTGTTATCTTCTCGTCATAAACTTTGCCACAGTATTTGATGACTATGATATTTCACAGCTTTTCTCCTTCAGGAAAGCTGAATCAAGACATATTTAGTAACAGAATGTAAGTGCCCCTATTCCATCTTGTTCAAAGCATAATTGCATCACATTGGGTTATTTCATTCTACAGGAAAGAAGTATACAGTAACTGATCTGAAGGAGGGGCTGCAATATGAATTCCGTGTTGCTGCCATTAATGCTGCAGGAACGGGTGAGGCCAGTGCGCCTTCAGAAGCTGTTTTCGCTCAGGATCCTATGAGTAAGTGGTTTTGTTCATTCATCCTATGAGATATGATACAGGAAACCTTTGCTGATGGCAGTATATATGTGTGCATGTCTGAATAAGAAAGAGAACCATTGACGGAGAGGTTGATCCTTTTACACAAAGTATTTCCATAAACTCTAGCAAACGATCCCTGTCCCCCTTTGAACTGAAATCTAAATTACAGGCAGTACACTATCAAACTAGCAGTCCAGGATATGAGGAGTGTCCAGAGGAAAAAAATAGCCATGGCCATACCTGCAAGGAAATGACCACGAGAATACGCATAAGCAGGAAAAAGAGAGCCCATCAAAGATGGCATTTGTATATGTGATCACAGCAAAACTTTATGGGAATCAATAAAATACAGTGCCAGTATCTTATATACTGAATAGTATAAGATTTCCAATGGATTATTATGAGGAAAATGTAGTGTGGTATAGCAAAAGGTCAAGAATGATTGCCAAAATTACAAGAAGAATAAAGGATGAAGTTTTCCATTAGCATATTGAAAAAATATGAGGAGAAATCATCCAAAGGTAAACGAGAGGCAGAATGTTAAGGAATAAGGACATTAAAATTTTTGGGAGAGGGTATCATGAGAATACTATTACCTGTTGAGGCCTATTTGATGGGCAAGCAAAAGAGGATTTTCTTCTGAGTTGTTCCCAGGTAATAGATTGTATTACTTTTGGAGCTACAATCAGTTCTCCCTCTTACTGCTTCCAGGAATAGTGCAAAGGCACATCTCTGCAAACCGTTTTTAAAACTGTTTCAATGTTCATTGATTATTGAGTATTATGACAGTGGCAATGGTTTTGTTGTTTACTTTTGTTTTCAGTGGTGTTACCGGCTTCCTTGAGTGCTTTTTTAGTGGGGTGTATTTGATAAAAATGTAATTAAATACATTTTTAAAACAATAGAATTTTGGAATTCAGAAATGTCAGTGACTTGCAGGGATGGGGATTCAAGTTGTGTAACTCACTATTGTGTCACACTTAAGTCACACCAGTGATTCAGTTCTGACTTGACTCACCTGCTTTTTTAAAATGACTTGGACTTGACTCTTGATATCAAGCCTTTTTTCCAAGTCATTTTTCAAGTCCCTGTTCTTTTGTTTTTTTAAAAAAATGCAACTTGCTTCACTTATCTTTTAAAATACTCAATTTTCTGGTTGGAATCCTCTTAACAGGCTGCAGAGGCAAATTGCATAATAGAAGCCACCCCAGTCTCCTGTGTATATATGTGTGACTGACTGAGTGATGGCGTAGGTAGGTTGCTTCTCTGGGATGGGGTAGGCAGCGCTTCTGTTAAACTTGCTGACTGAGATCTTGTCTGCACGTTTTTGTAGCCTTTTGCAGTGTGCATGTGTGTGTGTGTACATATGTGTGCATTCATGCATGCAAGTGACTTCTTTTCTTCTTGAGCTGCTCTCCTGAAAGAGACACCCCCCTTTCTGCAAAGCAATGCAAAAACATGTCATCATTTTGCAGAGAGGGAGTGTGTGTGCCCCTGCAGGAAAGCAGCTCAAGAAGAAAAGAAGTCACCCATATGCTTGCACGTGCGCACATATGCACGCATAAGAAGAAAAGAAGTCACCCATGTGCTTGCACGTGCGCACATATGCACACACGCACATACACACATGCTCTATGCAAAATCATGCAAAAATTTAGAGATAAGAGCTCAGATAGCAGGTTCAGCAGCAGCTCCTTCCACCCAGTCCCAAAGAAGCAGCCTCCCCCACAGACACATACCTCAGCCTGGGCAAAGAGAGGAGTCCTGTGCAAGTTGCAAGAGGTTTCTTCAGTGCAGTTTCCCTCTGTCTGCAGCATGTTTAAAAAGAGGATTCCTGACTGAAAACTGAGCTGTTTAAAAGATAAGTGAAGCAAGATTAGTAAACATTTTGAAACTTTTAAAAAAGTTTTCAGGGGAAGGACAGAGGAGAACAAAAGTGGGTGGTTCTCAAGCCTCAGACCTCCACACAGACTCTAGTCACCCCTCCTTTTTTATTTTTCTGTTTAAAAAATGCTTATTTTTAATAGTGACTTGAGACTCAGATTTGGGGCTTGGGACTCAGGACTTGGTACTAAAGACTTGGGCTCAGACCTAGGGACTTGGTACCAAAGACTCAGATTTGGGACTTGGACCCAAAGACTTACCAGCATCCCTGATGACTTCCCTTTCCAGAGCCTCCAGGTCCAGTGAGAGATCTTAAGGTTGTGAATACTGACTACAGCAGCATCTCTTTGTCATGGCTGAAACCGGAGGCAGAGGAAGAAAGTTTCGCCAAAGGCTATATTGTAGAGATGCGACACTCTGACACTCTGAAGTGGACTCCGTGTAATGCTGTCCCAATAACAATGACTGCATATATAGTCAGAGGATTGAAAGCCAGGGAGATGTATTTCCTTCGTGTAAGAGCAATCAACGATGGAGGCTTGGGTGAAGCTGTTGAACTAGACACTTGTGTCCAAGCTGTGCCTCCCTCTGGTGAGTCAAAATATACAACTTCTGCTTTGGCAATTAAGAGCCCACACAGAGACAATTCATTCATAAATATTATATTTATGTGATGCTTTACCTTTGCCATTGCTTCTGTGAAACTGCTACTGCTGTGAAATTAGTGGATTTGCAACCCCAGGATGTCGTGTTGGACACTTCATTCAACAGCTTCAAAAGAAAATTAAACAGATTCATGGATGAAAGGACAATAAGGTGCTACCAGTTATGGTGGTTATGCCTTCAGTATCACAGGCAATATGCCTGTCATATGGGGCCAGGGTTCATTCTTGCTTATCTCATCCTCACAGGTGTCTTGACATAACAAAACATTTTACGAAGGAATTTGATAGGTGAGGATGAGGAACAGCAACATTTTCTTTTTGCTTGTGAAGAATTTCCTGGTAATATAGATAGAGTTAATGTATAACAAGAACCAATATTATACCTACGACTGACTAGATTTTGTGCAAAACTGCACAGTTTGTAGAACTGTGCAAATTACCAAACATTATAATGCTGCTATAATTTTAAAAATGTAAGCACTGGATAGATGGTTTGCATCTTTCTTAATAATTATCCAGCCCTTCTGTGTCTTTCTTCTATGTTTGTTTCTGCTTTGATTATCAAAGGGAAAGGACACTAGATGAATTTTTGAGACAGAGGGTAGTAGTAATGGTATTTTGTCTTGCTCTTGGTTAAAGGTGAGATATTTCATAGAGCTATCAAATTCATCAACAAGGTGTCTTGTTGGGTCAAAACAGTTTAAACTGATGAGAACAAGGAATTTAATGAGTATTCTATACATCTCTATTCTGAAGACCAGCTACTGGAGAACATATATAGAAGGGTGCTATTGTTTTTGTCTTGTCTGCACACGCATTCAGTCTAAGAGCATCAGAACAGTAAACTGAGCTACATAGGTGTTCAGTATGATCCACCATGTCTTTTCTTTTGTTTGCTGTTGGTGCTACTACATTAGTAGGGAAATTATCAATAGATCTGTGCCACATATTGCCAGAACTCAGAAACATTATTTTGGGGACTAGAACTCTTAAGCAAACAGGGCAACTATAAAATGGTCAGTACCTAAGGGTTCGTATGTAATGGGGGAGATAAAGGATTTTATTGAAAATAATAGGCAGAGAAAGAAAATTGGCAATAGTGAGGTAGATGCATGAAAGCAAAGGTCATCTTAGAGATGACTTGTTAAAGAACTGCGTTTCACAGAGAAAATTAAGAGAAGAAGTCTGATGAATACAGAGGTGAATGCTACTCCAGGCACAGAGAGCACAGAGCAGAAGGACATGGGGACAGGAATGATTGATAAACAAACAAATAAATAAATAAATAAATAAATAAAAATGAACAGAGAGCAGTGTGAAGGATTTTTTCATTATGAAGGGAAGAAAGTGGAAGCTTTGAAAATAAAAAAATAATTAATTGGGAGAAAGTGTGGGGTTACGGATTAGAACTGATGGGAACTGAAAGTAGCTGCTTAAAACTTTATCTATGGGATAATTATTATAACATGAAGAAAGAATCATCTTCATCTCCTTACTCCATGTGATGAGTTCTGTTTCATTACCTCTTGCCCCTCTTTAGAAACCTAGGAAAATCAGATGGGCATAATGAGTTTTTAAGGCTCAAGGACCACAGATATATGTTTCTGTATATGATTACAGCTTGTTTCCAAACACTCTCTCAGAGCATGGTTTTAGAAAAAATGACCATACTAGGAACTTGAGAAAATATAGAGAACAGAATATATGAGAGCATCCTTACTCCATGTGATGAGTTCTGTTTCATTACCTCTTGCCCCTCTTTAGAAACCTAGGAAAATCAGATGGGCATAATGAGTTTTTAAGGCTCAAGGACCACAGATATATGTTTCTGTATATGATTACAGCTTGTTTCCAAACACTCTCTCAGAGCATGGTTTTAGAAAAAATGACCATACTAGGAGAAGAGAATATAGGAGAGCATCTTGATCAACCTTCCTTTATAAAAGTTGGGAGATTATTGCAAATGTCTGCTTGTGGAGAAAAGACTGTTTACCAGTAATTCAGCTAAAAGGGAAGCACCATTAATTTTAGCTTCCTCATTAACTTATCTCTTAAATTCAAGTGCATAGGATAATCATATTGTTAGAAACAGTAGGGTGAGCTGTTGTGAAACTCAGCTTGAATAGTGTGTAGTATCTTGGACAATAAGCAGCGGGGTATAAGCACTTGAATATAAATCAGAATGTATTTGGTCAGGAGAGTGAAAAATGAATGGTTTTCCATAGTTGCTTAATTTGTTTCTAAGCATTCTATGTGTTTGCAAGGTGATATAAGGTATTATATGATACGAGGTGAAATCTATCATTTATTTACATTATATTTTCCTTACAGTTGGTCCCAAGGTCTTAGTAAAAGACAGCATCAAAAGCTTTATGATTGTGAAAGCAGGGAATACCATTCGTATACGCATTCCTTTTGAAGTAAGTGAGAAATGTATTATTCAAGAAATATGAGTTCTCCATGTTTTCCTATATTAGCAAACCATTGCTATAAAAATCCTAGACACTTTAAAAAGGCATTTTTCTGTTACTTCATGTTCATCATTGAGATGCTGAAAAAACTTTCTCATTTCTTGTATAGAATCATTTTCTCACTGAAAAACCAAACATTTATGTAAGATACTGCTTGCCTAATGGAACATATTCCCAACTAAAGACGCTTATGACTGAGCTCTTAAAACAATATGCAGAGCAATTCCTGTATCCAAGACTGAAACAGTTCAGTACAAATCTATGGACACAGGTGCATGACATTCAGCTTTATGCAAAGAAAAGCTCAACACCTATATTAATATACTGTATTGTCATTTCTTTGACCATAGAAGTAAATGGAGAAGTCCTTGCACCATCTGGCTACATACAAACAACTTTTAGGTTCAGAGTGATTTTAAATGGGCACTGTCATATTTTATTTCCTCTGAATTATGCCAATTGCCTGTCTACCGGCTGTAACAATTCGGCCTTACTTTGTCAGAGAAGAAAGAGTGCAGAATGAGCAAATGTGTTTGATTTCAAGGGGAA